AACAGCTGAATTGATCTAGCCATGTCTTGTAAAAAAATACATTTTTTCATTTTTCCCCGAATTTAAAAAAAAGATAAGGGGTTACATCATTAAAATTTGCAAAATTCGATTAAAAATTGAATTTTTAAAATTTAAAAACGCAGTATGCAGATTTGTTGGCGCTATAAAAATTAGCACAGAACAGTTTTCCGAATTGAAATTTATGCATTTTTGGCTTAATTATGATGTCTAAAAAACACTGATTATTTTAAAAAATTGCCGGTTTTTATACCTATTTTCAAGGTATTAGTAATAATCAGAAGCTTATAGCACAATGAAGGAATCATTTCCGACCCTATAAATCATATATTTCTAGATCAGAATGAACAGCTGAATTGATCTAGCCATGTCTTGTAGAAAAATACATTTTTTCATTTTCCTCGAATTTAAAAAAAAGATAAGGGTTACATCATTAAAATTTGCAAAATTCGATTAAAAATTGAATTTTTAAAATTTAAAACGCAGTATGCAGATTTGTTGGCGCTATAAAAATTAGCACAAAACAGTTTTCGAATTGAAACAAACGCACTTTTGGCTTAATTATGATGGTTGAAAAACACTGATTATTTACAAAAATTGCCTGTTTTTATACCTTTTTGGAGGTTATTATAATTTTTGACGAAATCTTTTAACAGCCGCAACAAACGCAGTATGCAGATTTGTTGGCGCTATAAAAATTAGCACAGAACAGTTTTCCGAATTGAAATTTATGCATTTTTGGCTTAATTATGATGTCTAAAAAACACGGATTATTTTAAACAAGAAGGGAAGCTAACTTCTGCACGCCGAAGTTTATATACCCTTGCAGATAGAACTTCCATGAATTGGAATCCATACAATATAAATTATATATATTTGTGTTAAAAAACAATGAAGTAATACCTGCTTTCATTTCATTCACCTATACATATTATATTTGCAGTTTTACATTCACAGATTTGCATTTTTCCTCTACATCAAACGATCGTTTGTATGGCACCTATATGATATAGTCGTCCGATTTTTACGGAATTTGCCACAAAATTTAAGACTTATATAAAATGGCTATACCTCAAATTTGATGAAAATCAGCTGAAAACTAAAAAAGTTATACATTTAATTGTATTAATTTCTCGATCGTTCCTATGGGAGCTATATGATTTTCATAAAATTTTACACAAAATTGTAAAATAATATGAAATGGCTATATCTTAAATTTGATCAAATTCTGTTGAAAACTAAAAATTTTATAATTTTTTTTGTAAAACTTTTCCGATCATTCCTATGACAGCTATATGATATAGTCGTCCGATCCGGCCCGTTCCGACATATATACGAGTGAGAGTATATAGAAGACTAACTGCAAAGTTTCATTCAGATAGCTTCAAAACTGAGAGACTAGTTTGCGTAGAAACGGACAGACGGACAGACGGACAGACGGACAGACGGACAGACGGACATGGCTAGATCGACTCGGCTGTTGATCCTGATCAAGAATATATATACTTTATATAATCGGAGGTGCCTCCTTCACTGCGTTGCAAACTTCTGACTGAAATTATAATACCCTGCAAGGGTATAAAAATTGCCGGTTTTTATACCTATTTTCAAGGTATTAGTAATAATCAGAAGCTTATAGCACAATGAAGGAATCAATTCCGACCCTATAAATCATATATATTCTAGATCAGAATGAACAGCTGAATTGATCTAGCCATGTCTTGTAGAAAAATACATTTTTTCATTTTTCCCCGAATTTAAAAAAAAAGATATGGGGTTCATCATTAAAATTTGCAAAATTCGATTAAAAATTGAATTTTTAAAATTTAAAAACGCAGTATGCAGATTTGTTGGCGCTATAAAAATTAGCACAAAACAGTTTTCCGAATTGAAACAAACGCACTTTTGGCTTAATTATGATGGTTGAAAAACACTGATTATTTACAAAAATTGCCTGTTTTTATACCTTTTTGGAGGTTATTATAATTTTTAACAAAATCTTTTAACAGCCGCAACAAACGCAGTATGCAGATTTGTTAGCGCTATAAAAACTAGCACAGAACAGTTTTCCGAATTGAAATTTATGCATTTTTGACTTAATTATGATGTTTAAAAAACACTGATTATTTTAAAAAATTGCCGGTTTTTATACCTATTTTCAAGATATTAGTAATAATCAGAAGCTTATAGCACAATGAAGGAATCATTTCCGACCCTATAAATCATATATATTCTTGATCAGAATGAACAGCTGAATTGATTTAGCCATGTCTTGTAGAAAAATACATTTTTTCATTTTTCCCCGAATTTAAAAAAAAAGATATGGGGTTACATCATTAAAATTTGCAAAATTCGATTAAAAATTGAATTTTTAAAATTTAAAAACGCAGTATGCAGATTTGTTGGCGCTATAAAAATTAGCACAAAACAGTTTTCCGAATTGAAACAAACGCACTTTTGGCTTAATTATGATGGTTGAAAAACACTGATTATTTACAAAAATTGCCTGTTTTTATACCTTTTTGGAGGTTATTATAATTTTTAACAAAATCTTTTAACAGCCGCAACAAACGCAGTATGCAGATTTGTTAGCGCTATAAAAACTAGCACAGAACAGTTTTCCGAATTGAAATTTATGCATTTTTGGCTTAATTATGATGTTTAAAAAACACTGATTATTTAAAAAATTGCCGGTTTTTATACCTATTTTCAAGATATTAGTAATAATCAGAAGCTTATAGCACAATGAAGGAATCATTTCCGACCCTATAAATCATATATATTCTTGATCAGAATGAACAGCTGAATTGATTTAGCCATGTCTAGTAGAAAAATACATTTTTTCATTTTTCCCCGAATTTAAAAAAAAGATAAGGGGTTACATCATTAAAATTTGCAAAATTGGAAATGTGGAAAATTACATTTTTTGCACTTTTCCCAAAATTTTTGTTATATGTTACATGTTAAAATGGCCATCGAAATTAATGTGCATAATTTATTAAGACACCTATCCTTGTCTCTGCCCACTTGATGTGAGTCGGAGCACATCATTAAAAAACACTCCCTGTTTTGATATATGTATTGATATTTCTTTTATAAATAAATAAATAAATATAATATTTTGTTTAATGCAAAGACTATTAGTTAAATTGATTAATCTTAGATGTTTTTAAATTATCGATATCCTATAGGTTTTTCATGTCAGTGTTATTAATGTATAATTTGTAATCAGAAAACTATTAATAAAAGTGATTATCTTAACCCACATAATTTAAATATTTAATGTTGCTTTATTATCGTTTTGTAGTTTTTGATCGCGGCTATCTGCCTGAGATTTATTTTCCATACTTTGTCCGATGATTTGTTGTTCGCTTGCTTTTTTCCATCACCTTTTTGTATTAATCAGCAATTAATCCGTATCTCAACTCTTTTTCTGTGCATTTAGTGAACAATTGAATCCATTAATTAGCTAGCCAGCCAAGCTCCCGGGCAGACCATTCATTCGCCTTGACACCTGAGGGAAGAATGCCCGAGTGGAAACCCTAGTAAGGTCTGAGGGGCAACAACTATTGGGGATTAGGGCTTAACCGTCTGGTCAAGCGTCTGGCGAGGTCTCGTCCCGTTTCCCCCAGACTTGATTCTTGGGCTTGGATCCAGGTCTGGTGGTTGTCTAGTCCGTCAAACCCCACGGGGATATGTGATGGCTAAGCGGATTAATTCACCGACGTGCTGCTCAAAGGCAAATTGAAAATAGAAATGCGGGGAAAATAGAGCGGGGAACGTGCAACGAAATCCAATCATAATTATAGAGTCCAACGCCTTGAGTCGATGAAATTTACACAACAAAAGGTGGCCGCGACATTTCCAGCTGTCAGCATTAATTAAAATGTTTTCATACATCACCTCGGCGGAGTTCCAACACCTTTTTAGGTGCCCCAAAAGCAGCCAGAACGGAAATGTCTTTGGAGGACGGGAATCAAAACACGACCAGAAGCCGGCATAAAACATAAAGATGTCAAGACCCGGAAGGGTTGGGGCCAAGAATTATCATCCAGATCGCATGTTTCGGGAAATGTTGAAGTTTATTTTTGGTCGCCTGGCATTTGTCAAGTCGATAATTGGCGTCGATGAGCTTTCCCCATTCATACCATTAAATAATCTGGTATTCTATCTTGTATATTGATATATTTAACTGAATATTAATTAAATATTTAAATTGTATTTTTTTATAACTTTAAGCAAAAACTATAATAAATTTAATACAACAGAGCAAACGTTGCTCTTCGCTTGAAGCGGAGGTCATGTCAAGTGTTGGACAGGTTAAGCGACGGATCGAGTCTGCTGTCAATAAGTAATTGAAAATCAGAGCCGCCAGCAGAATGCTTTTCCGTAGTTTTTTTGTCAGTGTCGCTTTTCGGGGTAATTAAAAAAGTTTTTTACCCTGAAAAATAGAAAGAAATTGCCAATTGTCAGCAGAGGTTTCTTTTTTGTTGTAGACCGGCTAATTGTCATGCAGAGAAGTGGCAGGGAGGAGGGCATTTTCCTGGCCTGACGTAATTAAAAAGCCGTCAAGCGGAGTTGGCGCAGTTAGCGCTAAATGTCCAATTGATGCACAGACTCCGACCGTTAAATACCGCTCTCTCAGCACTCCGTCTGCAGCTCTCTAATTAAATAAGCCAGCGTCACATTTGTCTTGAGTGTCCGACAATTTGGTGACTTATGACGACTGCAGAGCGGACCCGACCCCGGCTCAAAGCACTGGCCAAGTTGGGGCCGCAAGATTTATGAGGTAAAAGCAATTAGAAAGTGGTATTAACAAGCGAGTGCACAGCATAGAACAATTTATAATAGCTGCAAGTTGTAGACATTGAAAAGCAAAGGGGCAAGCGAGGGGCGCATCCCAAAGGATCACAATTACCAGCATCCACATACATTGGTTTAAGAAAGTAAATAACAACTTATTAAAACGATAGAAAGATTGATTGATTGGTTTATTTTTATATTTTATTACCAATATTTGATCCATTAAGTATACTTTGTGATTGTTCGATCTGCTAACATAGGTCTTGTGAGGCTTCGCCAAGCTTCGCCTTCCCTTCCATTGATTCAATTTGCTCTAACACGCCAAATAGTATTTCCACTTCGTCTTTAATAACATCCAATTTCTTTTCCACAGAACCTCGAGTCCACCCAGGAACATCTACGATTTTATAGTAAACTATCATCCTTGAAAAGGAAAAATATTGTGAACTCACCTCGTCGGCGACAAAGAATTCTGTACAAGTGATTTATAGCGTCCAGTGTTCGGTCCTTGTCCATGGCACCATTGGCAATGACGTCCTTGCTGTGAGCCAGGATCTTCTCCCATTTGAGACACTGAACCCGGGACTCGTTGTACGATCTCTCCAGCCTAGCCAGATCATTTTTGAGTCCCAGGACGGTGAGGGCAGCTTCATTCGTGATTTGCACCATGCGTTGCCGCATTTTCTCGATCTCAAGCAGTTTCTGTTGCTCCAACTGACTGATCTCCACTTGGGCCAGCACTGCGGAAAAAAGGGTCAACTATGGCTTACAAATATCTATGCGATGGTTGGTCATGAGTAGTGAAAGTATCAATTACTTAACGCATCGCAGCGATCTGTGCAGTCCTTCGGGGAGACAAATATGTCGGAGACTTTCACCACCTCATCGAGGACCTTTTCGTACGGCTGGAACTCAAGGACAGTGGCCTTAAGAGCCTCCCGGAATTCCTTAAGCTCACTGATCGAGTCCTTGAAGCTGCTAATGCCCTCGCCCAGTTCCTTGTGGTAGAGCTCCTCGCCACGAGCGGTATTCTCGGCGGCTCGCTTCTTGTCCACGCAGTCCTTGATGAAGCTGTTCACCTCGATGAAGCGCCGCCGCAACCGCTCCTGGATCTTGTACATGTTCCGCACCCTTGAGTGGTTCACCTTGGACTGCCTCTTGGCGCTGGACAGCATCTCTTCCTGCAACTTGATCATAGCATCGTGCTCGCGCATATTGTTCACAAACATGAGTTCAATGGAATCACCTGGGGAATCCGAATTTGGAGGAATTCTGCAAGGACAAGCCAAAGGATAAGTTCAATATTACATAAATATTAACCTAAACATTTACTCACACGAAGAACTTGTCTTGCTGCTTTGAGCAGATGTAATCGCCAACCGCCTCCTCTGGCCGCAGGTCCAGATTCCCCAGGACATCGATCTTTTTGGTGGGTTTTACACGTGGCATCTTGGATCCCTTCGCCGGAAATAGTAACTTCTAGTGTAAGTAATGGAATGTGTAACTTTTTTTTTGTCGTTTTTCTTTTTTATTTTTTGTTTGTTGTGTGTGTGTGGTTACCGCGGTGAGGCGTGTTGTGTTGTTATTCGTGTAGTTGGTTGTGTTTTGTGTATCGTTTTGGAATGTGTTATGAATTTGTAATAAAATTAACCAAGACCTACTTGAAACATGATTTTTATTTGGATGACATAAAAGAAAACAAAGGTTGTCAAGACCACGGTTAATCTCCTTAGCAATAGTTGCTAAGAGAGGACGAAAAGGATACGCATTGTCTGATTGTTGTCTGTTGTTTGGGTTAACTTATCGGTAATTATATACAGTATATGTCCTTTTAAAAACTTTTAACTGGCAATAAATAAATTTTTTATCTCAATTGCTAAAATAAATTACCCGTTAAAACATATTATCCAAAAAAGACTTAAAATCGGATCACCGAGAAATCATTGTTTGGTCTAGGTGTTGTTGATAAACATTCGAGATTAAAGCAAACACAGTCTTTGCTGTCCAAAGAATCAGCATGGAGAATTCCAGTATAGCCCTGAGTCTCGTTAACACAACATTCGCTAAGAAATATATATTCCCAAAAATATATACCAATATATATATATATTCCTACAAGTAACTTATTGCGTTAAGCCAAGATGCCGCGTCATAAGAAAACCTTTAAGACCGATGTGATCGGCGATCTGGACCTCAGTCCAGAGGCGGCCATCGATGACTATCGCGTCTCGCGTCAGCAGGATCAGTTTTTCGTGTAAGTTGAGAGTTCTTTAGCTTTCATTAGCCCAACTTCACAATGGAATGTTGGCTCTAGGAAACCGCCCAACTGGGACTCCGCCGGAGAGTCTATCGAGATACTCTACATCACCAATCTGCGGGAGTATGAAGCAATGAAGCAGCTGCAGAGCCAGCTCCTGAGGGATGCCAAGCGCCAGTCGGCGATGAATGTGCACCGTATCCGCAAGATGATCAAAATCCAGGATCGCCTACGCAAACGCTTCGTCGAGGTCAATGGATTCATCAAGGATTGTGCGGACAAGAAGCACAGTGCCGATAAGAGTATTCGCGAGGAGACCGTCCATCACGAGGAGCTAACCACCGAGATCGATGTGTTCAAGACCTCCATTAGTGAGCTGAATACCTTTCGGAACGACCTCAAGGCAACGGTGGCCAAATTCCAGCCCTACGAGCAGGTTCTCGAGGAAGTGGTCCAGGTGTCCGATATATTTGTTTCTACAAAGGACTGCATCGATCGTTGCGACGCCTTGAGTAAGTTGGCACATCCTTAAAGAACTTCGGGAAGCCGAGTAGTATATACCCCTGCAGTTTGAAATTGAATTATGGGATCGAATCATAGCTTTTACCATATCTATTAAGAATTATAACTATCAATTATATAATTATCAATTAATTTCAGTGCTCGCTCAGGTGGAGATTAATGCACTGAAAGCCCAGAAGCTAAATGAAATCGAGGAGATGCGGCAACGCATGGTCCAAATAACCAGCGATGCTGCCCTCACCGTCCTGGGTCTCAAAAACGATCTGGCCCGTCTGGAACGCTCCTATGTCCACTCACGTGCCATGTGCCTCAAGTGGGAGAAGTGCCTCAGTGCCTGCAAGGATGCCCCGGCGAACTATACCCTGGACAAGGATCGAATGATCGACGGCATCCTGATTCTGTACCGCATACTCTGCAAGCGGCGTGGTGAGTTCTTAAATAATGTAAATAAATAACAATAATTAAAACTAAATGATAATCTCTGCCTAGATTTGGTTCCCTGTCTCCACAGCTACGAGGTGGACCGTATCCTGAGCTTTGTGATGCGTGAAATTAATCTGCTATTTCAAGTCCTTCGGAAGCTTGAGGAAGGCAAGAGCGACAAACTTGAAACAAGTCAGATGTGCTGAATATAATTTCAATATTGTTTCACACTTGTTATGTAAGCATGAGTAAAATGCTAAAGATATTCTTAGCTAAGAACATGTGTTTTCCTTCGGGTTTCAGAAAATAAGATTACTTTCCATAGAACCAAATCTAATTTCTTCAATTGCTTACACAGACATTCAACCCATTTGAAGCGTTTTAAAAAGAAACCCCACAATCCCGATGAGAGGAATGTGAATAAGATCAAATATATCTCCTGATTTATGGGCTAGTCCCGGGTATGGGCTTTATCGGGCTGCAAGAGTTCTCCCATCGACATTAAGTAGCTTCGTAACTCCACCCTGCAACAACTTTAATGGGCTTCGGCCCCACCTTCTGCTTTATGGCCGCCATAACAGTTGTCTAACCCTAAAACCTTGTGAGCCTCCCAAAAGAACGACCAACATATGTATGTGGCTTTGTTGGTGCCTAAGCCCGAAGGAAAATCAAATGAAATTCGATAAAAAGTAAATGCATGGGGCAGGGAGACCGAGATACACAGGGGCTGGAAAACTTTTCAAGTGGCACTCGAACTTCAAATCAGCGAAGGGGGGCGAAGGCAACCGATGGGCAGGAAAATAAAGTTGGCAAATCGAATCTGCGACATCTTTCCATTCAATTGCCAATTGGATGCTATGGCCCTGGGATAATCTAACTTAAGCACAGATAATTCTTTTATGCGAACATTTTGATTTCTGTCCTCGCATTTACAACAACGCTGGCCGAATGGAACTACCAACTAATTTTGTACTGTGCATCCTGTGTGCCACGCCCCGGCCCAGTCGAGGACGCCCACTTAACGCCCAATCGCCGGAAGAGGCGTGGCCCTTGTCTCTTATTCAATTTGCTTTATTTGATTTGCGATTTTTGCTGATATCAGCTGGAAGAGGAACTCCCAGGACTCCCGGCAGGACACTCGCAGCTCCAGATAGACCTAGGCTAAAAATCAAATCAAATGGAAAGCAAAATAAAATGCAAGGACATTTATTTTCAAGGAAATAAAAAAGAGAGGGAGACAGCGGAGCCAAAGAAATCGAACTATGTAGTTCGGGGCAAAGTCAACATTTGGTTTATTTAAATGGACCGTGAGGACAACCCACAAGTTGTCCTGGCACCGGAGGGTCTTTTTTTTTTGTTGTACTCCGGCCTCCGATATTGTGGTCCTCCAGCTTCATCGATGGGCCCAGCAATCACATTAAGTTGCTCATCGGAGCTGCTGCCTCTCGGGCAAATCGTGTAAACACTTAAGATTTGTAGCCTGTCATTTAAATAATTGAAAAATGCATTCTATCTTTTGGTGGGTTTGAGTTATTTTGGGTCTAAGAGCTTTTCAGTTGAAAGAAATCATTGGGAGAAAGCAGCTGGAGATGCCATTACTCGGAATTTATTCATCTGAGTACCCATTCTATGGCGGCATGACCATGGCAACAATAAAGCCTAATGGCATTGTCGGCTAATCCCTTAATTGCATTACAATTAATTGTCTGCGAATTAAATAATATGGCCAGCAATACGGCCTAGGACACGAAAATTGTGTGGGTTGTTTCGCATTTTAGTTTCAATTAATTAGCCCGCACAATGTTTAAGAAATATATATGATTTACCAAATAAATATTCTTTTGTTAAATAAAAAATTTTAAATAAGAAAACTATTTAGTCTGTGAATGTAAATATTTCCTAAGAAGGACATTGAAGGCTCCAGCCTGCCGAACCGAAACTCGGAATTACCTTTCCGCCGCTCCAATTATCCTTTTCGAAAGTTGTGCAGCTTCTTGGCGCTTTTGCTGCCATTTGCTTTTTTCCTGCTTACTAGACGAAACACTTAATTTAACTTTACAAGTTCTTAATGTGACGGCCAGACAGAAAAGTTGTGTGTTTGGTAGACGGCGGGGTTCGGAAGAGGCCGGGTTTTGGCCACTTGTATGGGACACTGGCGACAAATGGCAATTAGAGAAACAATGCCAGGCAAAACGGTTGCAATGTTGCAAAAGGCAGCAGACAAAATAGGCGCAATTAAAACACACTCTCTGCTCCTAAGGCAAGTTGAAGGTGCTTTAAAGTCGAGAACTGCAATAAATGTCAAGCGATTACCGCAACAACAAAGGGCGGCTCAGGCAGTCGGAAGAGCAACCAGGAGCCAGCTCCTTGATTAATACTATAACACATGATTTATTATGCCTGTCAATCGGCGGAGGGGAAGCCCATTATGAAAGCTTGCTTCAGAGATTGAAATCGGAATCGCTGGCGATGGAGATGGAGATGGAGTTCGAGTCAGAGTTGGAGCTGAAGCTGAAGCTGCTGCTGGATTTACTGGTGAAGTCGTCGTCGAGCGACATGGCCTGTGATAAGATGGCAAATCGGCTTATGCCCTGGGACAACAACAATCGGCATCATCAATTCACTTGGCGACATTAATATCCTCCCGGCAAGGGATGGATCCCAAAGCTGTCGTCTGACATTTGTGACACCTGCATTGATTTGTCTTCCTTTTTTCTACCCAGTTGCCATAGAGTTCAGGGCTATGATGACTCTGGGGGTTTGGCAGTAAAGCAAAGGGATATATACCCTAAAGAAAGTCTAAAAGAAATGAAAGAATACAAAGAAGACAATTGTATGACCTAGACAAAATAATAAATATCACAAGTAAATTAATCAATTCAAAGTATAATTCTATATTTTCCTTATATAGGGTATTCTTGATTCGCATCAGTCCATATATTACTTTTATTTTTATGTCACCGGACTTGGTGGGCGGGCAAAAGGAAGCCACCTGCCGCCCCGAAGCTCGCTTGACAGAGTACCTTTCATGTCTTACAAATGCCTTTTTTATGCGCTAATGTCGCTGCGGCTTCTTCCAACTTTAAGTTGCCAGCCTACCGCCCTGGGCCACCCACCCAGCACCCACCTCCCCCTCAATGAGTGCCATTAGTGCCGGGTTCTAATGGCCTGACGACAAGGAGCTGCAATTAGAGCACACTCACACTGGGAAGTCAACTACCCGAAAGAGAGGCGGCCGAAGGACTTTTCCTACCTCGCATAGTTGATAATTTATTCATTTGCCGGCTGGAACGACAACATTTATGGACCTCCGTGTTTGCCAAAAGTTAACCACACATGCCAAGATGGAGGACCCGGGCACCAGCAACCCTTAATGACTTCATTAGAGATCATAGTATCTGAGTGTCTGGTCTGAGGGCGCTGAAACCTACCCTGGAATCCGGTGAAGATTACGCATTCAATTGAATTGAAAATTTATTAATTTCGTTTGATTGGGCGTCGAAATCAACAGCTTAAATAGTTGAGCAAAATACGTGTTAAACATCTGCGGCATTGTTCCCTGAGCCCCGACGGAACCATTGTTGCCAGCCCCCGGTTAAGCCTTCAAAATTTTCCAGGCCATTGTTCGTTTTAAAGACTCTCGGCACAACTGTTGGGAAATTGAAAACGGATGCGGAATCGGAATTGGAATTGGAATTGTAAATTTTACACTTACCCAAGCGGCATTTGTTCGCTTTTTATTGAGCCGAATTGAGCTCGGCATATGTCCATGTGTGATGCTGATTGTGTGCCCTCTGCTCCTTGATTACAATTTGCATAAAAATATCGTTCGGATTGAGGGCCCCGAGAATTATGTTGCACATTTATGGTCCCGAGTCGAGCCTTTAAGGAGCGCGCTCTTGTCTTTTATCGCTTTCCTTTGTTATCCGGGCTAAGGAGTGGGGGCAACGAGGTAGTCTCACGGAAAGGGTTTAAGATGGATGACAGCAGAAATTTATTACGCCTAATGATTGTCAGATGTGAAGTTAGGCAGTTTCAACCACCCCTTTTTTAAAGCGTGTATCTTCGAGAAGGCAAAAAAACTCAACCGGAAATAGGTGGGGACCTCTTAATTTATCTAATAAATGTTTCCAATATTTCAATCAGTAAAGGAAATGGACTAGATAATATTCCAAAAAGAGTTACTATCAATATTGGTTAATTTGAAGAACTTTCTTTACTTGCTTGTAATCATATTTTGAAATGAATAACTTTCATCACAGTCTTAAAGTCAACATCTAGGAGTTCTTAAATTCACTCAAAAGATACCTGACTCCCCACTGTCTTCGCCTTAAGGTTGTGTCCTGGTCCTGACAGAGCTACACTCCACCTAGATACATAGATACATAGTTGTACAGATACATAGAACATCATACCACCACCAAGTGCCACTCGTAGGACAGGGCGCCAAATCACCCCGACTCCCGACCAATCCAGCCACCATTCGTGGCGTGTAAATATTTATAAATATTGACGGCTTAAAGTGAAGTTTATAAGTGACACGAGTCAGACGCCGGCACCCCTCCGCCCGGCAGGAAAAAGGAAGCTTTTTAGGTAACATCAACAACAACACTTGTGGTCAAACTTGAAAGCCTCTTTGATGGTTTTGCTCCTCCGATTCCTAGTTCTGGATTTGGGTAATGAAGTCCGCCACTTGAGGCTGTCAGAAGAGTGTGCGATAGGGATGGTTCTTCCGCATAGATGGATGGGGTTCGGGTCGGTAACTTGGTGAAAATATTGACAAAGCAATTTGCCTGTCAGACAATTAAGTGCTTAATTGTATAAATGTAAGGCCTGTGGCGGGGCGATGGCGGATATGTAACCAGTGGGAGCGGGAGACCGGAAGTTGCTCAGGCTTAAATCTTCTCCTGGCCGCACTCCCCTGCCGGATGATAAACCAATCCAAAGTGACGTGGGATTTATGAGACAGATTCTATTCTATCTCCAGACAAGTGAAGCAATAATCACAAAGCCATAAATCCTGAGGGCCCTCAGTGGCACAACGAGTGCCAGCAGAGGCGGTAATTTTTAATATAATTCAGCCAGATATGGCCGGAATGTTGGGCGACCCTTCCTGACACTTTGTCACAAAACGAAACAGCGTCGAGTGGAATGCAAAAATACTCGTATATATCAAGTGTATTATGGCAGAAGCTGTGCCAGTGCCAGTGCCAGTGGAGTGCCTGGGGAGGAACTGAGCTACTGGAAGTGTCCAGGCTCAAGGACCGAGATTTGCA